AAATGATGATAAATAAATGTAGAGTAATGAAATTAATACTTGCAATTCACTTTTCGTGACATTCTTGGATTATAAACATTCGTACAATCATTATGTTACAATCCATACGTTCGTTAGTTTTGTTAGTCAACATCAAGAATAATATTTGAGGCAGGAATATTTTTACTTTACTACATTATAATTTTACTTATGTTTGAACGTAATTTCTTGTTTAGCATAAAATGCTTTACCAGAAGCAAGATAATACATACGCAAACATATTGTAATGTATATAACTAGATGTTATAAAAAATAAATGAAGGACTAGGAATCTTAAAGGATCCTGATGGATCTTAGAACCTTCATTGGCAGATGCTTGTGTGCCAAGAAATGTTCCATATTTGTAAAAATTTTCCAAAAGTGCTTCTTTTTCAACCCACCTATTATATAACCATTTAGATAATAATTCTGGTTCCCGCGGAACCTAAAATCAATAACGCAATACAAAATTCCTACAGAAAATATTATATATATGAAATAAAATAAAATAAAAATCTAAGTTTCTTACTCACCACTGAACTAGGAAAAACTCGGTAAAATAATACTGTTTCACATGGTGGACGTGAACCAGTTATAATTGTTGGTAAATCGAGAGGTTTACCTTGAGGATATGCTATTGTTATATCAAGAATCCAATTAATTTCTGGTTTAGCTACCATCATATCTATAAAGCATTATTTTATAATTTAATAATTATTTTTAATAATTATTATTTAACATTATTACATAATATTGAATAAAAGTATTGATTTATCTTAAAATTATTTACTTGGTCTATTATTCAATTGTTGTTCTGTTGTATTATATTCCTGTAATGGACCAATTGTATCAAATATAGTTTGCATTGCTCCTACACGTGGTAATGTTACATTCTCAAGAATTGGTAAATCATTTTTTTTAGCATATTTTTGTGATGTCTCTCGTCTTTTACATAAGAAACCTCCTTCTGGGAAAAGCACCATCCACTTTCTGTCTAATGGAATATATGATTCTTTCAGATGTTTTTCTAATTGTTTTAAACTCTCTTCTCTTTTTTTACGACCCTAAAAACAAAATAACTTTATCATATATGATATATAAGATGTTAATAATAAATTAAAAAATCAAATTCACTTACAGATATTATAAAGAAGTCTTGATGTAAAACAGAAACTATGCCAAAATTAGTAAATTTAAAAATTCTATCCATAATCCACATCAAATTAGGTAATACATTTGGTTTAGCATTAAATGTTGTCATTAGGATAGGAACATCTCCAGTACTTTGATGATTTGCTATTACTAATGTTCTTTCACTAATAATTTGTTGTATATCATCACCTTGTTCTATTACTATAAATTAAAAATATTCATTATTAATTAATAATATTATTATACATATTATATAATACTTATATATTAATTTTATGCTCACTATCATAACCTGCAGACCAAGTCCACATTGATACCATTGCTAATAGCCAATGAAAAAATATCCCTTCGATTCTCCAATATACTTGTGGTTGATAAACTTTTACAGGGAATAATAATGTCATCCATACTACATATGTTGGTATACAATAAATGTTGTTAATTATCACAAAACTGGTTCTAGCAATACATTTTACAAAAGTTAACACATTATTGATTACCCTGCAAATATAAATATAATCTATTCTATTAAATTTTTAAAAGTTTATAAGAATATTATATATCCTTTTTAATAATATAACTGAAACACAAGTTAATAGAATAATATTTTTATTAATATTTTTCATATAAATACTAATTTACATAAATAAATATATAAAAATATCTTTTATTTATAATATCTTTTATTTAATAAAATTTCAATGCATAATTTAAATAAAATTATTTATTGTATAATAAGATAATCGTTTTTATTTTTAAAATTTTGATTTTTTTTTTTTTTTTGATTCTAACCATCATATTATTATACATTAAATTTAAAATAATATTATTATTAGATATAATATAAAATTATTAATTTTTTCAAAGTATAAATAATTTGAAATATAATTTTTTTAGAAATTTTATTAAACAAAAAAATAATTATAATTAATTTATATTTATTGTTGTTCGTGTATAATGACAATTTATTTAAATCAAAATAATTTCAATTTAAAATGACAATTTGCATACACATGTTACAACGATTAACATAAATAATTACAATAATTTGAAATTATTGAAAAAATTATATTATTTGAGAACATGAGGCCGGCGTGACATTATAGGTTAAGGACAAAAGATACATTTTTATTAAATTAAAAGCTGAAAAATAAATTGATTGTAAAATGGTTTACAATTATTAAAAGACATTTTCTTTTATTAATATAGGAATTGTAGAATCTGAATGTAATATATTTGATAAGATATATTTAATATTATTTTACTTACCTCATAAAAGTAGAAGAATAAGAAAAGTCAGTCATTTTCGAAAGACACCACTTGCAATACGAACTCGAAAAATTTTTAACCACAATTTTTTGAGCATAGCATTCCCTTTTGCACAAATTACATAAAAAAAGAATCTTCAAATTGAGTGACACATAAAATCCGCGTGCTGATTACATGAAACGAAAATCTTAATAAAATCTTATTAAAATTCAATAAGTACAATCGTTTAGTTTAATCATTGAATAATTGTTTTCAATATTACCAATTATAATTGACACGTAGCTAATAAAATAAAATCGTATTACATAAATTTATCGGCTTATTATCAACTACCACTTAGGTAACGTTTTTCAAGAATACACCATAATTTTGTAACTTTTAATATATGTAAAATCACAGAACACGTAACATAAATATAATGGCGACGAAAGTTAACAGACTGTAAAAATGCTACATAATCTCATCAACAATGATTATACTATTAAATGATTGACATCGTATTGGCAATCGAAAGTAGAACAATTCAAAAAGAGAAAAATTCAATGTTTATAAAGCACATTTGAAAGCTCATGTTTTTGAAAATGATAACAATAGTTCTCCAATCAAAATGTTGAAATATCAATATCTAAATTTTTTATATTATTCTTTTACATTTTTATATTAAAATATATCTAAAATAGTTTTACAAAAAACATTTCGCAAATAATCAATCTTATTATCATTCAATTGATTATATTTTTTTACAATATTAAATAAACTCAATAAACAATATAAAAACCAATGAATATTATATAACATCACTGATTGTTTATTCTTAATTGCAATAAAATCTATGCTCACTTAGAATCTATCTAACTATGGTATGTTTTATGCTTAAGTTTTACCTACGTTAGTTGCTCACCTACATGCTTTTATATCCTTGTACATATTCTAATCAACGTTAGTTATTCTTTCGTTTTTAATCGTTTAACATTTTAGAAAACTGTTTTAGAAAATAGACATAATTGAAAATTAATAAAATGATGTTAAATCTATTAAAATGTTTATCAAATAATCATGGATTATTAGAATTAAAAAAATCATCGCCTTTTGTAACATTAAGGCTGTCATTGAATACATCAGTAGTTTCTAAAGGCAGGAGAAAGGTACAAATCTGTCATATAAAACTTATATTATGATTAAAAATATAATATTTTCGATAACGAATTTGTAAATTATGATTTATTATTTTATTTATTTATTTTCGCATTTATTTTCTTTCAATATTCTTGCCAAAAAATTTTTAATTGTAGAATATTTTTACGTAATCGCTTAAGAATCAGACTTTAAAATAGTTTTGAAAAATATTTAAAAAAAAAATACTATTTTATTACATATAATTTTACTAAATTTTTTTTAAATATTGTTATGTCATTTATAATATAACAATTGAATACGTTTGACATTTAATCCATAACAGCGCATGAAGAAGATTTTTCACGATTTTTTAAAATCAAAAATTATCGAACCAAATTTATAAATGGTATGAAACAAACATTTTTATTTAAAGAATTAAATATGTATATTTTTAAAATTATTTATATATATGAATAATAACATTTATGTTTTATTTTTATTATATTTTGTATATTTCATATTGCATATTTATATATGTATATAATTTTATTAATTTCAATTTTATATATATATATATTTTTTATATTTAATTTGTACAGCATAACAACACATTTGAATACTCACACACATTGATATATTATATAATATTAACTTCATAACTAACCTTGAATTCCTCAACTTAGTCTATTGAAATATTTATTCTGAGGCTATATTCATTCAGTTCTTTTATATAAAGTAATCTCAATATGGTATATATATTCATAATTTTTTCCTTAATAAATAATAAATAAATAAATAATTTTATTTATATTATTGTAATAAATTTTAATATTATAATTTAAGGAATCAGATGGTGAATTTCGAATTGAGAAGGATACTTTTGGTGAAGTGAAGGTGCCTATTAATAAATATTATGGAGCCCAAACAGTGCGATCAATGCAAAATTTTCCAATAGGTGATAGCTTTGAACGCATGCCTGTAAGAAAATTTAAAATTGCTTTCATTTAAATAAATAAAGTTATTATTTAAAAAAATTCTAAGATAAAGTTTCATTATATTTTTAATTCATATCTTACATTTGTTTAGTATGGTGTTATTGTTGCATATGGCATATTAAAAAAGGCTGCAGCTGAAACAAATAAAGAACTTGGAATGGATGCTAAAGTAGCAGATGCTATTAGTAAAGCTGCAGATGATGTTATATGTGGAGATCTTTACAATGAACATTTTCCATTAGTAATTTGGCAAACGGGTTCTGGTATTGTATATTTTCTATTAAATGTACATATTTATTAATATTAACGAGATATAGTATATATTGATTTCAGGAACTCAAACTAATATGAATGTTAATGAGGTATTTATTATTAGCAAATATTATTAAATAATTTGAATATATTTGTAATTATTTTATTAATTTTATATAGGTAATTTCAAATCGTGCAATTGAATTACTTGGTGGTAAATTAGGATCAAAAACACCTGTTCATCCAAATGATCATGTAAATAAATCTCAAAGCACTAATGATTCATTTCCAACTGTTATGCAAGTAGCACTTGCTTTAGAAATTAATAGGGTTCTTCTTCCTGGTTTGGAAAAATTATATAATGCATTAGATGAAAAAGTTAAGGCATGGAAACATATTATAAAAATTGGTAGAACTCATACTCAAGATGCTGTGCCTCTAACATTAGGACAAGAGTTTTCAGGTTGATATTCATATGATAATATGATTTCTATTTTTATATTTATTATAAAATCATCAATTTTAATAATAAAAATTTAAAAATAGGTTATGCACAACAAATTTGTAATGGTATTCAAAGAGTAAAAGACACTCTTCCAAGATTATATCAATTAGCACTTGGTGGTACTGCAGTAGGAACAGGATTAAACGCACCAAAAGGTTTTGCAGAGAAAGCAATTGCAAGGATTGCAGATATTACTGGTTTACCATTTGTACCCGTTCCTAATAAGTTTGAAGCTTTAGCATCTAGAGATACTATAGTGGAAACACATGGAGCATTTAATACAGTAGCAGTTTCACTTATGAAAGTACATTAAGATAATATTTAATTTTGAAAAAAATTTATATTTTAAATAATTTATTTTACATTATATAAAATTTTTATATAGATAGCTAATGATATTCGATTTTTGGGAAGTGGACCTCGCTGTGGTTTAGGAGAATTATCTCTTCCTGAAAATGAGCCAGGAAGTTCTATTATGCCTGGTAAAGTTAATCCAACGCAATGTGAAGCATTGTCTATGGTTTGTTGTCAAGTAATGGGTAATCATACTGCTGTCACTGTTGCTGGAAGCAATGGTCATTTTGAATTGAATGTATTTATACCTGTAATGATTTCAAATGCTTTAAGATCTGCAAGATTATTAGGCGATGCCTCTGCATCATTTACAAAGAATTGTATTGTTGGTCTTAAAGCAAATGAAGAACGTATTAAAAAACTCTTAAATGAGAGTTTAATGCTTGTCACTGCTTTAAATCCACATATTGGTTATGATAAGGTATTATAATTCAATTTATTTATTAGATTAAAATTAATTATGTTTGTTATGATTAATATATAAAAATTGTTTTAATACAGTCTGCCAAAATTGCAAAGCAAGCCCATGCAGAAAATATCACATTAAAAGAAGCAGCAGAGAAAAATGGTATAAGTCCAGAACAATTTGATGAATGGGTGAAACCTGAAGAAATGATTGGTCCTAAATAAAGTTAATCAACAAAACGAAATCAAGTTAACATTTTTTATTAATAATTTATTATAACAATTTTTTTAATATGTGTCATTTGTGATATAATTTATCATTATCGCGTATTAAAAAAATATATGATATTGAAAATATAATCATATAAATCATATAAATTATATAATAGTCATTCGTATCATTTAAAAGTCATAGATAATAAATATTAAGTATTATAACTGAAAGTAGTTTTCAATTTAATAAACAAGATAATATAGTTTATAAATTGTATGAATATATCTTCATTTATCTCATATGATGTCACATTGTAATATAACTCTTGAGGGTTATCTTAAGGGTTATATTACAAAATAATATAAAAGTATAAATTAATCAGTCATTTTAATACATTACATTTTACATGTTTTAAATTAAAACGAAGTTTTTCATTCTTTGAATGTCATTTTGTGGATAATCTATTTTTAAATTTTTATTATTAAAATCCAAAATGAATTCTTTAAGAAAAATACAAAGTGTTATTATTAGACTAGGAAATCGTTATTACAATAAACTTGGAATTATTGGAGTACCATTTGAGAAAGGCCAGGTATTATTCTGCAATATAAAATAATATAATATCTATAGGAATAATGAAGTATTAATAAAAATATAGCATAAGAGAGGTGTAGCACAAGGTCCAGAAGCAATTAGAGAAGCTGGATTAATGAAAGAATTAGAATTATTAGGTAATTATTATTATCTATTTTATTAATTTTAAACAACTTAAAAATTATAAATCTAATATATATTTTTTTAAATTAATAAGGATTAGATGTGAAAGATTATGGCAATATTTTATATGAAGCAAAAAATGTAACTCAGGTAGATAACATGACACACTTAGGTGATGTTGCTGGTTGTACAAGTAAATTATCTGAACAATTTCAACAAATTTTGAAAAAAAATCGAAGAGTATTAACCATTGGTGGTGACCATAGTGTAGGAATTGGAACTATAGATGGTCATGTTAAGGTATAATATAAAAAGACTTAATGTTAACATTATTTTAATATATAATTTTATATATATATATTATATATAATTTTTATATTATATTATATTTTATTATATATTATATATAATTTTATTATTTTAATATTTAATTTTATTAATTTTTAATATATAATTATAATTTTTATTTCATAATTATTTTTAAAATTATATTTTCTTGTCTTATATATATTTTTATTTTAAATTTTATTTTTAAAGAAAAAAGGAGATATAGCTCTAATATGGGTTGATGCTCATGCAGATTTAAATACAAATAAAACAAGTACTACTGGACTATTTCATGGAATGCCTGTAGCATTATTAACTTCTGAATTGGCTGATTATTGGCCACATCTTCCAGGAATGGATTGGCAAAAACCAATGTAATTCATAATTATATTATAACAATATTATCAAAATGAAATGTATAATACATTAAATTATAGGCTGTCTATCAGAAATGTAGCTTATATTGGATTAAGAGAAGTTGATAGTTATGAAAGACTAGTTATTGAGAAATTTGGTATTACTGCTTTTGGTATGGAAGATATAGAAAGATATGGTAATATTTTATAATATAAATTTTTAACTCATTGGAACATTTTTTAATTAATCATTAATATTTTTTTTATTCTTTAAGGTATTCATGATGTTACTTATATGGCATTAAATAAAATAGATCCTAATGATTCAAGATCAATACATGTTAGTTTCGATATTGATTCATTAGATCCTTTGGAAGCACCGTGTACAGGAACTCCTGGTAAATTACTTTCACATAAATAATACTCAATCTAATTCTTAAACATGACTTATATTTATTTTAGTACGTGGTGGATTATCATTGAGAGAAGCTATTCATTTAATGGAAGTTCTCTATAGAACTCAGAGATTGAATGCATTAGATATTGTAGAAATAAATCCTTATATTGGTAATAAATATGACGTTCGACTAACTGTTGGAGCTGCTATACATATTATTCAAGCTGGCTTTGGATATAGTAGAAGAGGTCTTAGAGTTCCAAAAGGTGTTACAGATATACCATTACCAACAATTAAATAAATTAATTATATTTATTCATAATTTTATAATATTAAATATAATTAAGATGTCATATTAATTCTTCTTTGAAGTTTATACAGTAATAAGCTTTTGTAAACTTTTAAACAATACCAGAAAAATATAAGAGAAATACAAAATAAAACAATATATTTCATTGTTATATCTATTCATGAATCACAAAGATTTTATTAGGAACATCATTAAATTCAACTTCTATTTTTTTTATCTTGGTTCCACTATTGTCTGCTTCAACTTGATACTCACAATTTAATTTTCCTTTAGTATTAGTTCCTTTCAGATAAAGACTGAATTTCTTGATATCATTATATTTATTATTAGGATCAACTTTTAATTTTCCTTCTTTTATCGGTTGTCCCAAATGTTCAATAGTTTTCTCATGATTATAAAGTATTCCCAGTACCCTTTTATATGTTACTGTTTTTCGAATTCTTCTATCAATAAAATAATTTAAAGACAATCCTGAAGTTGTTACAAGAATACTTCCGTAAAAAGCAATTTTTGCTAAATTATGTAGCGAAAGTGTCTATATAAAACAAACAATTTTTAAAATATTTCATTTTTTTTTAATTTTCGTTGTATGAAAATTTTAGGTTAGGGTTTTATTAAAACAAATTTTTATTAAGTATTGTTATTAAAAATCAATAATTATAATTTATTATATACTTATAAAATACGTACTCTTATTTGATATCCATTCATAGTTCAATTAATTCGTATATAAGTATTTTCTTAGATAAACAAATATCTTTGAAGAACAAGCCATATACTTATCTGTATACTTAGTCAACTACTTATATAATTTCACATAACTCTATTATTAATAAAACTGTCAAAAAAGAAAATAAACATTGTTAATAATTTAATTATACATCAATAAATTTCAAATATATTTATACGTTTAGTAGTTGTAAAATGCACTTTTGTCACGTGATTGAATTGTGGAAATTTTATTATTGATTAAATGCATATAAAATTCAATAGAAATTAAAAGTAAAAAAAAGAAGATATCAAAAGAAAATATAGATAAATTTAATTAGCAAAAAAAAAAAAATACAAATCTTAATATTTAAAAAAATTGTAGAAAGGTTGTTTAATTTATTTCTTTATTTTAACAAACACAATATTTTTAATATATGTAAACAACTATGTTGCTATACATCAAGTGTTGAATACTTTTATTATTTTGCATATAATCATAAATAGATTTTGTAAATGTATATCCATATAATTATTTCAGCAACAAGATGTTTTTATTTTTGCGCGATATGTTATTATAGATAATTCTAGGTACATGGATATTACAACAATATACATCAAATTCATAAATTTATATGTTGTAATCTATAAATTAATAGATATTTTTCTACATAAATATAAGTATTTCCGGTAATATAGTAAAATTTGCTCACATATTTCGATAAGATTTTTATGTACAAAAAATTACAAAAAACAGAATTATCGCGAAATTCATGATAATGTATACAAAAACGAAGATTTTATAAGTCATACAAGATTAAGAGGTATTTTATAGAGCGCATACATAGATATTAGAAATATATCCTTATGTAAAATAATATACATGTGATAATATATAAAGTAAGACTAGATGTGAGTGTCACAGACCTTATCTATAAATCTATAATCGATACTGAGTATAGTTCGAGACACAATTCGAGACGAAGCAAAATCACCCGTCTTAACGCAAAAATATGCGGCACAACAACGGCTGAAAGCATACTGGCAAGAAGAGAGCAAATTGTAATTGTTAATAATTAATATCTTTTTTTCCATTTTTTTTTCGATCTCCTTAAGAAATTTATAGTATGCTCACTAAGTAGGGCATAAAAACTAAAAAAAAAAAAAAAAAAAAAAAAAAAAAAATAAATAATAATATTTTAATATATTAAGTTTGTATATTTGTTTTAAAAACACAAAATTTAATTACCTTTCAATATATAATCTGTTAACAAAGTAGGTACTGTTGGACTGTCTTCACTAATTGCTTTTAATACTGTAAAATAGAATATCAAAGTTAAACAATTAATATAACTATATAATTAACGATACCTACTTTTTATAAGAACTTGTAATGCTTGATTGTCTGGTGGGCCACTGTCTGTATGGTAAGGAATTACGGTAGTTAAATACTGCAAGAAACAGCATTAAAATTAAATAATTTTAAATTTATTTATATATTATTCATTTCAAAAAATCACAAATTACCTTAGATTCTTGAAGTGATCTATGTTGTGGTAAAGGACTAGTACCATTTTGCATTTGATTTCTTTTTTTTGTAACATGATGCTGTCTTCGTCGATTTTGTACTGCTAACAACAATGAAATAAATTGATTTTTTAATTCTTTTTCATACTCAAGTTCATCACGTAATGCAAGTTCCGCAATGAGAGTTTCGCTAAGCGCTCCCACCAAGGATTCCATTTCTCCGAGTAACTCATTAAGCTGGCTGGAGGTAAGATGTTTTAACTCTGGAATGAATAATCATAATCAATTCAGAATTATGAAGTCTATTTCGATGCAGTTTATTATTTTAAATCGATTTAAATATACTTTTTTCATGCAATGGAGAGCCCAAAACTTCTCTGCTTCTCTCCAACGCTTCGTCGCTATCTAATAAAGATCCATCAGAATCTGGAGATCTTTCCATCGATGGACTTTCCTACACAAGATAAATTTTCTTTTTTTCCCTTAAATTTTTATCTAGTTTTTGAAAAATTTGATTTTTACCTGCATTATATCATCTATTTCACGGAGTACTTCTTCGGCAGTTTTCAACGGTTCCTCTGGACTATGAGTATCGGTGCTACTGGACAAGATCAAAGCATGCATGTCCAAATCAGTTGCAACAGCCTCATCTTCGCTACTTAAATCCTCTAGTTCAGGTCTATAGCAAACAAAATGAAAGCAGTCTAATTTGCAAATCGTGCTTTACACATACTTTCAAAATATATTAAAATGCTTCTTATTGTTTTAAGATATGTATTGTTGCTGAAAAAAAGCTGCAAAATAAAATCGAAGAAGACGACTATAAGAAATCGGACTTACCTTTCCTGTGAAACCGGAGCTTCGTTCAAATTAAGCGCAGGCATGTGCATTTTTCTAGCATACGATTTACTCCAATCGATTGGTAATATGTTACCAAACGTACCGGTAATCGTCCACCACATTCTATGAAAAAAAGAAAAAAGTGAAAATCTCTTTTTTAAAGATCGTGATAAAGAGAATATTTTTTTCTTCCAAACACATTAAATTTCATTGGGCATATTACTAATTGTGCACATACATACTATATAAACTGACTCATATCCTCATGTTGAATTGTCCTCTGTTGTTTGAAAATTACGAACCGGGTAAGCAGCTGCTATTTTTAATTCCGAACTCTTAACGATTACTCAGAATCAACTGCGAAATGTAATATTAGATCTAGATTTCTAGAAAGACACGCTTAATAATATACGTTAAAAATTGGTGCAAGGATGCCCGAGGAAATAATATTGTCATATTTCTAGCTACCGACTGTTCTATCTTTAAACTGAACAAGTAACAACAATATGTTGCAGACGAATAATTCCATCGAACTCTGACGAGCGAAGAATAACCGTGTGAACGTTATCTAAATTTCATAGCAGTTTGTATGCATCCTGTGAACGATTCCCAGATGAGTATTATCGCGTTAAATGACTGGTGGTGAAACATATGATAAGATTCCGAGATGCGAAGTTTGGATGAAGTCTCCGTTTTCTAGGATGTGTACTGTGTGAATCATTCGGCTCTCGTAGGCGTATCCCGTGCCTCGTACAGTACACAGACACAGACCGTACAGATAAGCCCCTCGATCTATTGTAAACACTGTTTAACTCGTTTCGATAACAATGCACCCATTCTAAGGAAATGAATTTCCGCGATCGACACCCGTGAAAGAGATCTTATCGACGAGCCTTTTTCAGACTTTTGATTTATAAACAATTTCGATCAGATAATATCGTATATAATTTATAAAAATCTATTTGGTCCATCTTATCATAGTTTTTCTCTGTATGCTCGTTCGATTAAATTATTAAATTATTTCCTACGATTACGGATAATCGATCAGATTGAACGAATTGATTAGGTTTAATTAGCACTGAAATCGAAACTTCATGGTTCGTTGGCAGCCTTTAAAATTTTTTCTTCTTCTTTTTCTTCTTAATTATTCTTATCGATCACAAGTTGATTCGATTTCGATTATAATTTTTTTCATCTAATAGTTCGTTTTTCATATGATATATTGATACGCCCGAGAGAAATAAAAGGATACATATGATGAACCGGTCAATGGTGTTGGATTAATAAATAGAGGTCAATTCGACTCAAACCCACTCGAGTTTCTCATTAACGTTAAGTGTATTAAAGCAGTGACTTCATCCTGTGCGCATGTTAGTCTCATCATTCTGAACAAATGCCTAAACAACCAGACCAGATCCACTGATGAAAGAATGGCTCGTTGGATCAGGGACAATTTCGTCTGGCTTTAAATTTATTTAAATTTTTAAATTGAAACGATGCAGAAGACAGATGATAATGATAAAATGAAATAGAAAAAAAGAATAATATATTCTTGCAATCGTCATTTTTGATGCGATCTCTCTGTATATTTCCCTCTACTAATTGGAACGAGAAAAATAGAGTGAAATTAAATTCCCGGGAAGGCGAGTGTAGTATCCCTTTGCTTATTAATTCATTCTTCGGTTCAATGATCCGTGACGAGACCTGTCCAGTCCTCGTACATTATCTGTTGCATAATACAAACAGCTTACGAGCAAAAACATCAAATTCTTGGACGATATATCACTCTAATAAATCGTTGCAATTCAATTTATCCCAGCTAATTTGCAACGGAGTCAATGAACAACTGAACGTTTACGAAGAATGTTCTATTGACTCCTGAACAATATTAAAAAATAGAAAGCGGATTGCGATGTGGAGAAATCGAAGTAGTTTCCGCTTTAAATCTTTTTATCATTGTACCATTGATTCGTCTCGTTTCACATATTCTTCACCGACAAAGATAAATAAATTGAAAATCAGAGAAACGGGGCACGAAAGAGAGCGGTGGCCGAGAAATATAGAAACCGGTACAGCGCATGCGTTGTTTTATTGACGTTTGTCCATTCGAAGGGTGGCTCGATACGAACATCGGAACAAAACACAAAGATCAAATTTTCATGAGACACCCCTCTCCCCCCCCCTCCCTTACGATTCGATCGATGCACGATTTCTCGCTATTACGATCGCGTTACTGACCCCTTACTCGCCTCCTAGGGAACTGGATTTCGGCTGTCCCTACGCATTCTTCTCGTGCCACGTCAATCCGCCATTTTTACACTGCTCACCATTTAAATCTGGAAATGGAAATTTCTAGCTTTTTACAAAATAAACGTTTCAATTGCGAATATTAAAAATATGAAATACACGTTTGAAAATATTTCTTTAGCGACAACTAATTAACAATTCCGCCGCGTTTGACGCACAGTTGTCAAGAATAGGATAGGAGAAATCTCGAGAATGAGTGTGCAGTTTGAAAAGAGGGCCAGAGAAAAATAAAAAGGAAAGGGAGTTACGTGGCTTACGGGGCGAGAAAGTCTTTCGAGAGGTGAAAAGAAGGCTACCACCGTTTCGCGTTCAAAGGCAACTATCGGAGCCACGACCTTGGCTCCCAAGAAGAAGAGATGCGTTTCGTTCGTGGAACAACGCTACTCCTCTCGTGACAAATTGGATTACGAACAATGCGCCGGATACGCACGCACGGATGCGTTTATTCTTTCCGGCTTGATGCATGCATATGAAAGCGGCACCGATGCCGAATGAGACACGTGCGAGTGCACGTGCCCGATCTCTGCGAACCTCGGCCACTGACCTCTCGACTTCTCATCAACGTTCAGACTTTCGATATTTTGACCAACCTAAAATTGTGCTCATCTTTGTTCAGTTCAGAAACATCGATTCTAAAGAGAGATCGACTTTTAATTTGGATCGAGAAAAAAATATTCAAATGGGGGAGCCACTTTGATGACTCCTCTGATGAAAATGGAATTTAAACGACTGATGTACGGCCGATATATTTCGTTTAGATGATTTTTAATTTATTTATGACGAATATATTAAAAGCTGGCTGCGTTGAATAAATAATCCTTGTGATGCGTGAAATCTAAGACAATAATCAAAAGACGAGTTTCGGAAAATATTTGCTTCGTAATTAATGAGGCAAAAATTATCGGAAGGATGAGTCATCTCAATCGTTACGTAACACTCGATTCGTGGACTCGAGTTCGTGTTCAATTCCGATTTTGCAGTTAAAAGTAAAATAAGGGTAAGACATAGTAAACCTCTTCGTGACAATATCTATTTGGAGAAGTTGCGGTTACAACGTGTTGGAACCGAGTCTACCGTGTAATTGTGTAATACATATATCAGCAAGAATAAAGTTTAACTATCCAATTCGCTACATGCATAAAATCCTATTATGATGTCATATAGAATTACACGAAAAGATAATTTTATGACAAACGTATATAAACGTTAAATTTTAAAATAAAATATTGAAGAAATCTGAAGGAAGGGATTTATTTTCCCCGTTCATAGATTTCAATGGCAACGAGAAGAAGAAAAAAAGTTTCAGGTAGGCGCTTGTCCAAACAGGTACACGAAAGAACTATGCGTGGGTCGTCAGTTTGACCTCCCCTATTGGGTAAGAGTTAATTCTTCGTCGCGATGCAATCTCTCTTTCCCTTTAATATAACAGCTCCCTTAGGTCTACTACAAAATGCTTTTTCACAGGTTTATTTTCTTTTCTACTACGATCGGTCTGATGAAAGGCAGCAGGATGTCTAGACGAATTTCGAGAAAGGCGTGACTTCAAAGAAATTTATGCACAAGCGGTGGAGTTGAAACGAGTTTAAGAGCCCCACCGTGTTATTCTACACCGAAGAAGATACAATTTTGCGCTTCGTTGAGTTTCACCTGCACGGACTGCGTTACGTGGCGGAATATATTCGGACGGACACCTGCATTGCGGATAATACCATGGATTTTTCACGGGGAATGTTTCAGGAATCTCTGAAATCTTTTGAACGATCAGGTATTTCAATTCATTTTCACGATACTTCGAGTTTTCTCGGAATTATCTCTTACCTTTTTTTTTTGTTTTAATCATTATTATTTTTTTTTTGTCATCTAATCGATATGAGAATCCACAGTGCTATATCTATGCGTTATAAGCAGTAATTGTGTAATTCATTATGATCGATGAAAATGATTCGCGAAGAAGCAAAAAAAAAAAGAAAAAAGAAAAAAAAAGAAAAGAAAAGACGATGGAAAAAATTATGAAAATGTTTTGTTACATAGAATTTAGAAATCGATCGATCGATCATTAATTTGCTAATGCACGACGCGCAATGATAGTTTAATTAGAAGATAAGTTACTTTCTTGTTACGCGTTCTGTCCACTTCGCGGAGAGAAAGCTGCAGAACGCGCCGCAAACGTCATGTAAGTAGAGAGTATTCGTGGTGGCACACTTTTCTGTTGGAGAATCGATATTGTGATCTTAAGGATCAAATTTATAAGAAAAATCTGCATTTTGTTAAAAAAAAAATAATCGTTCAAACGAATTCATAAATTTCCAATCATTATCAAAAATATACATACAATTATTTTATTTTCGTCTCTTTCTTCAATTGATAAAAAAATACACTTATTTTAAGAAAATGTGACAAAATTATATAACACAAAAAAATAAGAGGATAATATTCGTTGGACCATATCAATGCGGTGGTTTAGCGCAAGTAACCTGTAACGCTTCTTAATGAAACCATACGAGTTACGTTCAAACGATATCGGTTTAGCCGGAGCCATCGAGTGAAACTGTTTGCGCGTCTTAACGAGAGTTGAAGAAAGCGTTAACATGAGATTACTTAAACAGGATATGAAATATTATCCAAGGAACAATCAATAGAATCATAATACTTTAATATTTACATCTCATCTCTGTACGATCTATATATATGACTTTTTGCAAAAAATTTCTTTAAATAACATACTTTATATATCTTGAATTATGCCATTGATAAAATAATAAGAGCGATAATTACTATTCATACAAGACTAATATCATAACATCATGATTATCGTAAACGATTACTTCCGTTCAGCAAGAATTGATGCGACTATCATTATTTTATAACGAGGATCGAAGAGTTGAACAGCGTAATAGATACCTCAAGGTAAACGCGACAATTTGAATGCGATAACTCTGGCAATCTTCGAGGGGTATTCATTTATTCGATCAGCCGCCAAGAAGCGGCAGTAGCTTTACTTTTTTAATCGTCAAACGTGGTCGTGTAAACCGGTATAACTGTACCGGAGATATCGCGTGACCCGAGGGTAATAGAAACTTCTCAATCGCGCACGTACTAACGTAATTTTCACTTGCGCACTTAATTATTTCTTTTGCCGGCGATGCGTTAAAAAGAGGTCGTTTTGGTGAAAATAAATAAATAAAATAAAATAAAAAAAAAAAAAAAAGAAGGAAATGAAAAAAATCTCTGATTAGATCTTCCATTCACTAACCGATTATTTTACACAAATTGATTTGATTAATTAAAATTATTTTCTCTTGAGGTGATCGTTTATACAAACTATCATTTAAATATTGCAAATACCTCATAACTCAAATATAACCAGATTTTATGTAATGATGTATCTTTGAAAAATAACACTCATTGTAACAATGTGTAAATATAAAACTTCCATAAAAAAGGATATCGACGTTTCAGACACTTACTGACATTCGTTCATAATTTCTTCTTGCGTTCGTACTTGCACGGGTGCTAGGGATTCTACGTTCGTGCCGTAATCGCGGAAGCAGGATGTTATCTTCTCATCGAAGGTGTTAACTAGGTCCTCGAGACTGCCGCTGAAAGGGCTGAATGTCCCCTCTTGCAGAATATCAGTGCCATTTTCACGCGTAGTCGCTGGCTCATTTGCGTTACAATTTTCTCCATAAGTCGTGTTTAAACTTGTATCCAGCAATTGTTCTAAATATAACAGACAAAAAATCATTATTAACGAGTACTATCTTTAGAATTTAATGTTAGCTTATTAATCATCGTTCCCAATAGAATCGATAGTAAAGTAAACGCGATAAGTTCGATATAGGACACATCAGATTGAAAAGCCGATAATAAGTTACTTTTATATATAGGATCATAAAAAAGAACTTTTAAATGGAATAATTAGTGACAGATCCAGTTTAAAAAACAATCGATATTAATTTACATTTATCATGGATGTGTTATCAGTTATATAAACACGATGGATCATACTTTCGCATAGATACTAGTGACGCATAAGAGATCGAATGTTTTTAGGATTAAATATCAGTCATTTTTCTGCAAGGGACCGGAAAACATATACGCGTTTCATATATTTGCGTTTTTCTATGCATGAGGCAGGTCTTTCGAGGCCAGATTTCCAACGATGTATGTTCTACGATGTCGTGAAAAGTGATACGAGAGTTAAAGCGTACATGAAGGATATTAGACACCAATTGTACGCATGACGTAGCCTTTTGTCGCGCGTTCGTCGCCCGAAGGTCGCTTCTTCATCGCTGCCTATACTAAGCCACCCTCGTCATTTAATTTACACGTCCGCAAAATAAGCGTGACTACACGTGTACGCACGTTTATACAAAGACAAACGAAACCTGTTCCCACTATCGAGAAACTCTTTCGATTTCGAAATTTCCGCTTATAGTGCCGATGACGTACTGAAATACCATTTTTAGTCAAGGTAAAGAAAATCAAGAACATCGAGAAAATTATGCGTTCATATTTGTTTCATAAATAATTCGATCATTATTCACTTTCCAATTATACGAGTTTAAGATCGATTGAAATAAAAGTAGAGAAGAAACGAAAATTATTGAAGCTATATTGATTTTTGTAAAAGATTGATTAGGCCTATGATTCTGGTACTTGATGAAACACATTTGTAATAAAGAGACATTTCTGATTCGAAAATATCACAATAGACTTTGATCTTAACGAGGTTAATAGAAACTCATAACTGACATAATAAGATCCATCTTAAATCAAGTACGAAGAAGCAAACGGAAAGACAACGACGTATATTCTTTCGCACCTGTCAGTAAATTCATATTCTTCAAGCTGGCCGTGTCTTCCTCCTCGAATCGTGCGAGGGGTGCCTCGAACTTCAACTCGGCGATCTTGCCCGCCATGTCCCTCATTATTGACCGTGTAGAGAAGAACCGGCAGCGAAGTTTATCACCGTGATGAAATTGGGCACCGTACACTTGCGGCAGCGCCCCCGAGGCGCACCGTTTTTGTCGTTTGCTTTATGATTCTTTTACAAGACAATAGAAAAGAAAGAGACAATCGACATTAAAACCATTCGCCCAACTTTACAATATCCGCTGCCTGTGAGGCTTCGCGAACGACTGACACAGAGGGGGGCTTATTCCAAAATAGTGGGGGAAGATGATTGCTAGTCACCATGACAACCGCTGGCTGAGCGCGCCGATGGCACG